CTGAGTAAACTAAGTCAATCACAGAAGGATGAACATTCTATGAGTACACTATCATAAAAAGTTAAGTAAAGGTTTATATACAGAAGAAAACTTTCTTTGTTGGTTACTAAGGATGGGAGGGGAGAAGAGGGAAAATTGCTAGCCAGGTAAGAGACACGTATTGATTTGGTTGAAGGCAAAGGGAATATCCCAAAAGTGAGGGACCCGCACAATAGCACTAAGGAAAAGGAAGACACAGAGAGATAAACAAGAGGTACAGATAAGAAAGGTAAATACTATTACATACACAATACTGCACTATTAGTAATAACAAACATTAATCTATGGATGGATACATAGGTAGACAGAGAAAATGATCAGATATGGATAGGCAAATGAGACCATATACAGGGTTGGTATATGACATTTCTATACACAAATTTTTATGGGGTATAAAAATGTCCATATATATAATAGAGCTAACAGGGAACAAAGTTATAACTTCTTAGCCACAACTAAACACCTGGAGGGAGTAAGTCACTGGGCCTGTGGCCTCAGGACTATGGTTATGGGATATATCAAGGTCAATTGGCTTAATACAGTACACAAAAACATTGTTCTACATCCTACTTTGGTGAGTAGCAACTGGGGTCTTAAAAGCTTGCGAATGGCCATTTAAGAGGCACCAATTGATCTCTTCTCATTTGGAGCAAAGAAGAGTGAAGAAAATCAAAGACTCATGGGAACAATTACAGAAGGGACTAGTGGACGATGGGAATCTCAGCCTATACAACTCTGAGACCTGAAGAACTAGATGATGCCTGGTTACCACTGCCAAGTGCTCGGAAAGGGATCAAAATTGGAGAACCTAGATAGAGTGTGAGAAAAATGTGGAACGAAACTGAAAATTGTAAAAAGAGCAGGCTTACTGGACTGATAGAGAATCTCATAAACCCCTGAGATTATGACCCCTTGTCACCCTTTAGACCTGGAATTAAACTCACTCCTGCAACTTAACCTTTAGCCAAACAATAGACAGGCCTCTGAGGTGAAAAATTACACCAAGAAGTACACTCCTTAAATCAGTCTACTGTGGAAGATCAGAAACCATGGGAGATGAGGAGGGAAGCATTTGTACAGGAAGAAAGCTCAGAAGGCAGGAATGCATAGCAAAGAAGGACACAGAGGAAGTGATAAGAGAGCGGTACACTGTGGGGACTGCAATCCATGTCATGAAACAAAATGTGTATGAATTTGTGAATGGAAAACGATTTTGCTCTGTAAACTTTCACCCAAATCACAATAAAAGTTAAAAAAAAAAAATACAACTGACTTAAGCATATGTGTCTCAAGCAACTCCATCTTTTAATTTAATATAAAAAGAATAAAAAAAGAGAGTCAAACTAGGATACATGAATCACTCAGCTTCAACTGACAACAGCACATGTATATTACAGTTAAGAAGAAGCTTCAAGTTTATTATTAAGGACATGCATATTTTGAGCTCATTCTATGATATAAAACACTAAACAGTAAATATCTCAACTGAGAAAAGAAAGGAAAGTCTACCTTCATTTCTGGCAGCATGCCCAAAGAGTCCAATATGAACAGTACCAATGCTTGCATCAGCATCATAAATTGATTAAATTGCCAAGTCAGACTAAAGAGAAAAGTTGATAAGAAAATGGCAAGAAGTGTCAGCCTCTGGAAAAAGAAAAAATTATGTAATTTACATGTCTCTTGTAATAAAAAGCCTTACAGACAAGTTTTCTCAAGAGCAGCCAATATCTCTATAAACCAAATAGAAAAACCATAAACTGTTGCTCTGAAAACCCCTGCATTTGTTACTTAAGCTCTAAATATCTTAAAGTGACACTCTGCATATAAATATTCACATATGGTATGTGTATTCCACACTATTATGAAGGTGATAACGCATCAAATCACATCTCCAGAGCAATGGTTTAAAAATTCTGACAGTTTCACATAAAACTTGTGTGGGGGTTTGCTGCAACTATTTAAGGGTAGATTATGTATAGTGCATTTTTAACATCAATACTGAAAACATTTTCTTTTGCAAAATAGGAAAAAGCTCAGAAAAAGAAAACTTCATTTAACTCACGTTAAATAATTTGTCATGGAATAAGAACTATTTACATGCATTGGGACAAGGTATGCACTTCAAACTTCCTGAAGCTTCTTATATACAATTACAAAATCTAAAACCAAATGAAATATTACAAAAACTTACTTCAGAAAGAGGCTGTAAATTTGGTCTGAGGAAATATGTGATTGCTGCTATCTGGATTGCAAAGAATGGCAGAGCCCAGTTCTCCCTCAATGGAATGGTAAACTCAACTCTTGTGGTATCTATTCTGTACAAAATAAAACACAGTTGGCAAAAGTGATAATTTTTACAATGATTTTCTCCAAAAGTTCTAAAAATGAAAAATATATTACATTAAGTCCAGACTTAGAGTTTGGTAATAATACTAACTGCCACTGTCATCATAATTCCTCCAACATAAACTTGACACTGAGAAAACGTATGTAACTTGTCTAGGGGTATTCTAAGTGATAGAGTTGGGTTTCAAATTCATGTTAGTTAGTCTGACTTCAAAATACACAGTGCATGAGAGTATCATGGCAAACTGCCTCTTTTTAAAAAAAATTTCACTAGTGCCAACAGGTAATGCTATACATTTTCTTCCTTTGTATTTCTTTCTTTCTTCTTTTTTTTAATGCATTTTATTGAAATATAATTTATGTATAGTGAAATACACAAAACTAAAGTGACATGGGTCAATGCTTTTTTTTTTTGCAGAGTTCCCTCCCATTCCCTCCCACCCCTGGCAACCAACAAAGAAAGCTTCCTTCCATATATAAACCTTTCCTTGACCCTCCACAACAACGAACTAATACTGTATTTGTCCTTCTGTGATTGACTTATTTCACTCAGCATAATGCCCTCTCCAAGTTCATCCATATTATGCTATGTTTTGCAAACTGTACATTATTCTTTAGTACTGCATAGCTTTGCATTATGTGTATGTACCATAGTTTGGTCATCCACTCTTCCGCTATAAATTTTAGAGATCAGTCCCTTGCCAGATATATAATTATCAGCAAATATAAATTTGTTGCTGTCATTTTTGTTATGTGCTTTTACATGGTGTCGATTTCTTTGTTCCATATAATTTTCTACGCTGAGCTCATTTTGTTTATGAATCATGTTATCACTTCCTTCATTGCTATTGCTTTAGTATTTGCTGAATATTTATGCTGGTCCTCTTTTTAAATGTGAAGGTTTATAATTTTTCTTTGAGGTTACCCTGTGATTTATAGTTTTCTTCCCAAGTTTAGAACAGTCTGTTCTATCTTGTAGTTGTTTTGACTTCCCTACCATCTAGAAGTTCTGTAACGACAGTTTTTTCCCGCTTTTTGGTTTGTAGTTGTCCTCATTTGTCAATTGATGTCTCTGGTTCCCTGTTTACAATCTTGTAGGATTATTTACTTTGGATACTTCTATAGCTGGGTTAGTTTCTGGGTTATGTTATCATGTGTGTTAATGGTCAGTTGTTGTTGGCTGTTGTTGCTTCTCTGTCCAAAGGGCTCCCTTTAGCATCTTTTGTAAGCCTGGTCTGGTTTTAACAAATTCCCTTAATTTCTGCTCACCTGGAAATGTCCTAATTTCACCATCATATTTGAGGGACAATTTTGCTGGGTACGTAATTCTTGGTTGGAAATTTTTCTCTTTCAGGGTTTTATATATACCATATCCCATTGTCTTCTTGCCTGCATGGTTTCTCTGGAGAAATTCGAGCTTAGTCTTATTGGTTGCCCCTTGTATTATAACTTTTTGTTTTTCCTGTGCTGCTCTTATGAGTCTTTCTTTGTCTTTGGTTCTGGTAAGTTTGATGGTGATATGTCTGGGTGATTTTCTTTTGGGGTCTATCCTGTTTGGAGTTCGTTGGACTTCTTGAATGGATATGTTTTCATCTTTCATCATACCAGGAAAATTCTCTTCCAACAAATCTTTGACAATTTTCTCTGTGGTTTTATTTGTGTCTTCCTGTTCTGGAATTCCGATTACATATAGGTTATTCCTTTTGATGGTATCTCACATGTAACTTAGGCTTTCTTCATTTTGTTTTGATCTTTTTTTTTCTGTTTTATTCCTTTCCAAAGAAGTGTTCAGGTATTTGCTTTCAGTCTCCCTAATTCTGTCTTCTTCTACTCCTTTGCCCATTCAATGTCTTATCTATTTCTGACAATTTAGTATTAATCTTCTGGATTTCTGTGTGTAGATTTTGTATCATTTCTAATTTTTCATTTATTTTGTCATTTTGTTCTTGTATTGTCTTTTGAAATTGTTCTAGGGTCTTCTCTATGTTTCCTTGATCTTTTAATTCACTGAAGACACCTAAATATAATTCTTTTGAATTCCTTATCAGGGAACTCCAATGCTGTGTCCTCCTCAGGGATGTATTTTGGGTCCATACCCTGGTCCCTTATTTCTCCTGCTTTATCTTGTTTCTTTGTGTAGACTGTGATGCTCTGTTGTCTCCAAGGCATTGTGACTTTTTGTGTTTATATTTAATTGGTGATTGTATGTTGGAGTGACTTGGCCACGATTTTCATTTTCTTTGTTTTGTTTGTATGTTAGCCACGCAAGCAGGGTACTATGCTGTGCTCCTCTGTTTTGCTAGGGGGCAGCACTTAGACACTCACCGCCTGTCTCGTTTCCTGTTGTAAGCCACTCGTATGTCCCTGCCACCCTTGGCAAACAGAACCTGTTCCTAGGTCCCTGGAATCTGAATGAAGCTGCTATCACTTTACAAGAGGCAATTTCGTATTTTAGTTCTTTTAGCAGCTCTTCAGCACTTGAAAGAAGTCTTTTGCAGCCAATTTGGCCAGTGCTATATATTGTCTTTTGTCCTAACTGCTGCTTAAATGTTTTCCTCAGTTCTTTCCGTTTGAGAAATGCTGTGTGTGTTCTTTCCTTTCGGTTTTCTAACTCCATGTCTTTGCACATTTCATTATAGTAATTGGCTTTGTCTGCTCGAACTACTCTTTGAAATCTTCTGTTCAGCTCTTTTATCTAGTCATTTCTTCCATTTGCTTCAGCTACTCTTCACTCAAGGGAGAGTTTCAGTGTCTCTTCTGACATCCATTTTGGTCTTTTCTTTCTTGTATTTTTAATGACCACTTGCTTTCTTGGATGGTGGATGATGCTCTTGATGTTATCCCAAAATTCTTCTGGTTTTTAGTGACTGGTGTTCAATGCATCACATGTATTCTTTAGATGGTCTCTAAATTCAGGAGGGATATATTCAAGGTCATATATTGGCTCTCATGGACTTGTTTTAATTGTCTTCAACTTCAAGCTGAATTTGCATATGAGCAGTTGATGGTCTGCTCCATAATCAGCTTCTGGCCTTGTTTTGGCTGAAGATATTGAGCTTTTCCATCGCCTGTTGCCATAGATGTAGTCAGTCTGATTCCTGTGTACTCCATCTGGCGAAGTCCACATGCATACCCACCATTTGTGTTGTTGAAAAACGGTATCTGCAATGAGTAAGTCATTGGTCTTGAAAAATTCTATTATGCAATCTCCAGTGTTATTTATATCACCAAGGCCAAATTTTCCAACTACTGGTGATTCTTTTTTGTTTCCAATTTTTGCATTCCACTGATCATCAACACATCTTTATCACATGTTCAGTCAATTTCAGACAACAGAAGTTGATAAAAACCTTCAATTTCCTCATCTTTGGCTTTGGTGGTTGCTGTATAAATTTGAATAATAGTATATTAGCAGGTCTTCCTTGTAGGCATATGGATATTATCCTATCATTGACAGTACTGTACTTCAAGCCAGATCTTGAAACATCCTTTGTGATGATGAATGCCATGCCATTCCTCTTCAAACTGTCATTCCCGGCATAGTAGATCATATGACTTTCTGATTCAAAATGGCCAAAACTGATCCAGTTCAGCTCACTAAGCCTAGGATATCAATCTTTATGCGTTCCATTTTATTTTTGACAACTTCCAATTTTCCTAGATTCATACTTCGTACATTGCATTCTGATTATTAATGGATGCTTACAGCTGTTTCTCCTCAATTTGAGTCATGCCACGTCAGCACATGGAGGTCCTGAAACATTTACTTTATCTGTATCATTAAGGTTGGTTCTATTCTGATGAGGGAGCTCTTTCCCAGTCCTATTTTGAGTGCCTTCTGACCCAAGGAGCTCGTCTTCCTGCACTGTGTTAATGTTTCCAGGCTATTCATAAAGTTTCCTAGTAATGTATCAGACAGTGTTTCTTTGCTATTCATAAGGTTTTCCCTAGCCAATTTTTGAGAAGTGGATGGCCTGTTCCTTCTTACCAGTCTATCTCAGTCTGTAAGATGTGTTGAGACCTGTGCACCATGTGCAACCCTGCTGGTGTTTGAAGCACCAGCGGCACAGCCTCAAGGCTCAAAGCAACATGCAAGCCCCGCAGGATGACAAACTGACAGACAAGTTTGTCTCCCTCAGCTGCTGGAAACCTCACCACCTTGGCCTTACCTAATTCCTACCTGGATCCTGCCACTTTGTGGTTCCCAGCGCTCCCTCCATTTCCTGTCTCTGGGGGCTGGGTTATAACCTAATAGGTTATAATAAAAAGTAATATGCTTAGGATTACAAAATAAAATCAGTTGTTGGCACTAGTGTTTAAGTTATAAGACCCTTCCTACTGAATATGGACGTTGCACTGGAGGTCAGGCAACAATGCAAAATACGTTTAAAAAATATTATTTCATAAGATTCCAGTATTTAGAAATTAATAAAAGACATTAATTAACTAAAGCAAGAACTTCCTTGCATTTGTATGATGCTTTATGCTTTGCTAATTGTGAGTGTCATACAATCCTATTAAGATTGATAGTAAATATATTATTAAACTTCTTTAAAAGATATGTGGCTGGAGAAATACTGATCATATAGAAAATTGTTAATAGAATTGTGATTATTACAGATGATTCTCTTGACTTGCAATTCAATAACTTGTTCCTTAGATGGAAATATAAATGAACAAGACTTTCTTACTGAGTAAGAAAAATCAACACCGACAGGTGAACCACAGAGGCAATACTCCCTCCCAAACAAATGTGGCAGAAGAAGCTGCTCTGAATAAGAAATGAAATAACTTTTTTACTTACATTTTGGAAAGTGACAGAGGCATTATCACTTCCAACTCACCTATTTGTGACATACCAGAAAGCTGCTAATAGTCCTGATAGCCATGTCCCACTAAGGAGCCAACTGGTTACATACAGAGCTGTGACATAGATCGCCTGGAGCCCAAATAAGGTGTAAATATAAAAATAAACTGGCTCTAAATATCTCTGTAAAAGGGAACAATAAAACATGTTTGTTAGAGAAGCCCAGATCCTTCTCATCATCATTTAAAAAGGACTGTACAGGACATTCACTATCTAGAACGCTGCTGGGGAGCTCTGGTAACGTAGTGCCTAAGACACTTGACTGCTAACCAGAAGGTTGGCGGTTCAGACCCACCAGCCACTTCTCATAAGGAAGGTTGGGCAATCTACTTCCATAGTGATACTGCCTCGGAAACCCAAGGAGGGGCCACTACGAGTCGGATCTGACTCAATGGCACTGAGTTGTTTGTTTTTTTTTCAGCACCCTTTCCTACCAATACCAAGTGCAAAGGTAGGAAGAAAGTCCTTGACTGTTCTGCTTCACTCTAAGTTTTATAGCTAATTTGGTCTAAGTTTTTCTCATTCACATGAGAAGTAGTCATTATGATTAAGCTCTGGTAGCATAGTGGCTAAGACACTTGCCTGCTAACCAGATGGCTGGCGGTTCAAACCCACCAGCCACTCCTCGGAAGGAAGGTTGGGCAATCCTACTTCCGTAGTGTTACTGTCTCGGAAACCCAAGGAAGGGTCACTATGAGTTGGGTTTGACTTGACGGCACATAACAACAACAACAACAACAATTCTCCCAAAATTGTTTATCTCAAAGGTAAATCAGGAGTGATTATAACTTTCTAAATAAAAATAGTGATCAATTTCTAGACCACATACATGTATTATTATATAAGCCACAAAGCATTTACAAGTGAAAAAAAGTTTATGAATTATAAACAAGCAACAAGGTTCATAATACACAAACGTACCAAATTAAGATATTGCTGATTTTACCAAATCAGTTGAAGATATGAAGCTCATATGTGAACCTTGCAATTTAAAATGGCAGATTTAGACTTTCATCTAGTGAAAATTCAGTTCAATGTTACAAAATACAACATACCTGTATGGGTAGAACTCTATATAAAATACTGAGAAAAACTTCTTGGTAAATATTCATTCGTTCAAGGAGGTTAATTGTCCTCATAGATTCAGTTTTATTATCATATATTAAGCCATGTAAACCTAAGATTGACATTGGAAAAATGAGAAAAATACAGTTACAATTTTAATTACAATCATTCATTCAAAATTATTCATATTTTCTTTACTATGTGCAAGAGACTACGCTTGGAATTGGCGATATGATAGCAAAAAAACAGAGTCCTAACCTCATACAGAAGGAGCCCTGGTGGTGCAGTAGTTAAGTGCTCTGCTGCTAACTGAAAGGTTGTCAGTTTGAACCCACCAGCCATTCCAGAAAAATGGCAGTCAGTTTCCACAAACCTGGAATAGACTTGACCGCAACAGGTACCCTCACAGAGCTCACCACGTCTTCGATGGGTACCACTAAAATGTTTATGCAAACACAGATGTTATTGATTAAACTGTGTCCCTCAAAATATGTGTTGTAAATCCTAAACTTTATGCCTGTGACTACAATCCCATTTGGGAATGGGTTGCCTTTGCTATGTTAATGAGAAAGGAATCAGTGCAGTGTTTGTTCTGAGTCAATCTCTTTCAAAATATAAAAAAAAGCAGATCAGGGCAAGTAAACAAGCAGACATGAGGAAAAGTTGATGCCAAGCCACAGAGACATCTCCAAAGAACCAGGAAACAGGCTGAAGAGCCAACAGAGAGAGAAAGCCTTCCCCTCGAGCCGGCACCCTGAATTTATAATTCTAGCTTCCTGAAGTGTGAGAAAATAAAGCCATACACTCGTATTTATGTTCTAGCACCATTAGATAATAAGGCAGAATTTGGTAGCAAGAGGGAGTGTTCCTCTAACAGAAAGGCAAAATATGGAAGTGGTTTTGGAATTGGGTAATAGGCGGAGGCTAGAAGGGTTTTGGGAGCTCTGGTAGCATAGTGGCTAAGGCACTTGACTGCTAACCAGAAGGGTGGCGGTTCAAACCCACCAGCCACTCCTCGGAAGGAAGATGGGGCAATCTACTTCCTTAGTGATACTGCCTTGGAAATCCAAGGAGGGGTCGCTATGAGTCGGTTTGGACTCGACGGCACATAACAACAGAAGGGTTTTAAGGTTCCTAAGAATAAAAGACTAGATTGCCCTGGAGAGACTGTTGGTAGAATTATGGACAAAAAAGGCTTGGCTGCTAACTGAAAGGTTGCCAGTTTGAACCTACCAGTCATTCTAAAAAGATGTGGCAGTCAGCTTCCACAAACCCTATTCTGGAACAGGTGAGGGCTCTGAAGGAAGGGATGAGAGCTACAGAGAAAGTCTCTGCCACCTTAGAGAATACAAATGGCACCAGCAATGCTATTGTTGCTAAAAATGTGGATGTTAAATGTGCTTCTGGTAAGGCTTTGAAATAAAATGATGAAATATTAAATAAATGATCCTGCAATAACAGTTATAACAATAATCTATGAGTAGATACATAGACAGACATACAAACGGAAAAGGTATGGGATGGCGAATGTGACTATACCTGTGAATATATATAAGGTTGGCAGAGGATGTTTCTGCATACCTATTTACACGTGCTGCCAATATATCCACGTCTACAGTAAAGCATACAAGAGGCAAAGTTATGAAAACTTCTTAGTCATAAACACCTTGAGGGAATGAGTCAAACTAGGTTTGGGGACTTAGGACCATATCTTGGGGACATCAAGATCAACTGGCATAACATACTACACAAAGACAATGTTCTACATCCGACTTTGGTGAGGAGTGACTGGATCTTAAAAGCTTACAAGCAGCCATCGAAGAAGCAACCATTGGTCTCTCCTTGACTGGAGCAAAGAAGAGTGAAGAAAATCAAAGATGCGAGGAAACAATTAGTTCAAAGGACTAATGGACCATGTGAACCTCAGCTTCCACTACTGTGAGACCAGAAAAACTAGACGATGCCTGGCTACCACTACTGACAACTCCTACTGGGATTACTCTATCCAGGGATAGCTGTCCAGGGACAGAGTGGGAGAAAAATGTGGAACAAAACTAAAAATCATGAAAAACAAGATTTACTGGTTTGATGGATATTGGTAGAGGCCCCAAGATGATTGCTCTCAGACATTCTTCAAGCCTGGACCTGGACTCACTCCTGTAGATTAACTTTCAGTCAAACCATATGAGACCAAATGAGCAGCATATGCCCAAAAACAAAACTCAGAAGCCAGTAACAGACAGAAAGGGACAAATGGAAATGGGGAAATCAGAGAGGAAGTAGAATGAGTACTGTTACACTGCAGAGATTGTAATCAATGTCATGAAACAAAATGTGTACAAACTGTTGAATGGAAAACTAATTTGCTATGTAAACTTTCACCTAAACTGTTGTTGTTGTTGTTGTTATGTGCCGTCAAGTCAGACCTGACTCACAGCGACCCCTCCTTGGGTTTCCGAGGCACTATCACTACGGAAGTAGGTTGCCTGACCTTCCTTCCGAGGAGTGGCTAGTGGATTTGAACCGCCAGCCTTCTGGTTAGCAGTCAAGTGCCTTAGGCACTATGCTACCCAAGCTCCTTCACCTAAACTACAAATTAAAAAAAAGAAAGAAATGAGTTGAGTCTGACTCGACGGCATATCATGACGATGAACTTAACATTATGACGTGGCAACTCTGCTCCCACAGCTTCGGGTGGACCCATTCTCCCAGTCCATTTGAGTGGCGACCCTGCCCGCTCTGCCCTGGCCAGCCTCATTCTTCTGCCCCTCCAGCATGGCAGCCCCACCCCCTTAGCTTTGGGCATTGGTCCCATCCCTTTGGCACGTGGGAACAACGGCCGCACTCCAGAACCAAGCTGGTCAAGATCTAACTCTTTTAAACCGGGAAGCCATGACTCCACCCTTTGAAGCTGATGTAGTCCTGTTTGCCAGGCTCCTTCTGGTGGTTCTGCACGTCTCCAAATTCCTGCAGGGATGGTCCTTTTCTTTTCTTTGAGGACAACAGATGTAGCTCCTTTGGGCATTTTCCTGCCTATAGAGCTTTCTTTCCTTTCATTCTTTCTCTGTCCCCTTCTATTTAAGATGATGGGTTTCTCTGTGGTAGTTGGTTAGACCCATCAGTCACAGCCTTCATCTCTTTAACAAAAGATGGTCACATTCTTGGTGAAAATTCTAGGATATGTGTCCTTAGTTTATACAATAGAATTTTCTAAATCTTTCAAGTTTTAGTTTTCATTTTGTGCAGTTCATTTTTATATCCATCTCTCTCCTCCTCTCATTTTACTGTAAGCTGCTAGGAAACCTTACTCACTGCTGCTGAGTTGAACCCAACTCACAGCGACCCTTCATTGGGTTTCCGAGGCAGTATCACTACGGAAGTAGATTGACCCATCTTCCTTCTGAGGAGTGGCTGGTGGGTTTGAACCGCCAGTCTTCTGGTTAGCCGTCAAGTGCCTTAGGCACTATGCTACCAGAGCTCCCAATGTTAAGTTAGAACCTATAAATAATTTTATTTATGCTTACTAATGCTAAAGCATAGTGGCTAAGGCACTTGACTGCTAACCAGAAGACTGGCGGTTCAAACCCACCAGCCACTCCTCGGAAGGAAGATGGGGCAATCTACTTTTGTAGTGATACTGCCTCAGAAACACAAGGAGGGGTCGCTATGAGTCGGGTCCCACTTGATGGAACATAACAACAACAACAACAAATGCTAAGAAAATGTTTAAACTTACAGTTTAGCAAACTGTTTTGTAGCTTTAGCCATGCTTCCTCCCCTCCTCCTATATACCTGGCAAGCACAAATCTTATGTTTACTATACCTTTCTAAACTCTTATCTTCTCTCTGCAATTTGGGAACATTAAAACATCTTGTACGGATATCAGTAAATATTTCCCCATTTTACAAAATTATTTTATTCCTTCAATAAAATACTTGTTTTTATTTCTAGTAGAGCATCAAAATAGTGTTTTCACTAAGACACTAATACATATAGGAGGGATGGCAGAATTGGGATATATTTTAAAACCCTATCTAAAAATGGATACAAACAGTAATTATCAATAATTAAGTAAAAGTCTGATGAGTAATTAACCTTATTAATCCAGCAATCAACAGGAACTAACTGACTAATTTTTGGAGTCCCCAAGGTGATGCAAACTGTTACTGCACTTGGCTTTGAACCGAAAGGCTGGAGGTTTGCGTTCATGCAGAGGTGCCTCAAAAGAAAGGCCTGGTGACTTGCTTCTGAAAAATCCTTTACTGAAAACCCTACACAGCATAGACCTACTCTCACTCACACGGGATCATCAAGAGTCAGAATCAACTCAAAGGCAATTGGTACTGTGATACAGTAAGAAACACAAATCACTAATAGAATTTCTTGCCCTAAATAAATCAATCTAAATCGTACAAATGCAAAAAAGGGGTGATTACATCATGTGTACCCATGTTAAGCCTATCAAGGTTACATTAAGTAGGGGTTGTCCTACTTAATATATGGATCCTACTTAATATATCAGCACATAACAACAACAACAACACTTAATGTATCTAATGCGGTTTCCATTAGATGGGGTAAAGAGTATAGATGCTAAACCACTTAGGAAGAATGGAAATGTAAGAATAATGGCAATTAGCAACATTAAGGAATGAAGGGGTATTCTGGGACAAGAGAGGTAACTGTGACTTTCATATATATTGCTCAAGTAACATCTGCACTCAGACAATACTCTTTTTGTCTGCAAAGACCTCTTTCAAAATGACTATGAGAATCATTAAACAAAATGTATATGAACTGCTGTATGAAAACTGAATTTGGTCTGTAAACTTTCACCCAAATCACAATACTCAAATAAAAATCAAAAGTCAAGGAGAGGTTTACAAAAAAGAAAAAAAAAAAAAAAAAGACACCAAAATGACAATGAGAAAAATGAGCAACAAAACCAAGAAATCCCAACGGATGACTTTTGGGATGAAGTATAGCTGGAAAGCAAGGAGGGCAGAGCTACAAAACTTCAAGAGCAAAACATTTTCATGGACCAATGGGATGGATGTTCACAAGGAAAAGTTAAAATAAAGCTACAGACGTTTTGTAAGCAATTAAAAATGTTAGGACTGGAATACCAAACAGAATACAATAGGCCCAAATGAAATTATTATTTGTAATTACCTTGCTTGAGGGTTGGAGCCTGCAGCATTTGCTTGTAGTAGGAGTAATACAGTCCACATTCTGTTCTGAACGAGATTTCTCTTTCTACTTCCTGAAATAAAAATAGGCTTTGTTTATCATCACTGCCGAAATCATACACAGAAACAATTTAAAAGAGAAGAAACTCTCAAGTAGTTTTAAGAAATCTTACCAAACCAGAACAACAGAAGGTTTCTACCCCACAGGGTTTCAAAGACTATAATCTTTATGGCACTGGACTGCCACATCTTTTTCCTCCAGAGTAGTTCTTTTAGCTTAAGAAATGCCAAGTGTGTTCTTCCCTTTTGGTTTTGCCACGGAATCAATTCTACCTCATGGTGACCCCATAGGGCAGACTATAACTTCCCCACAGGATTTCCAGGCTGATGGAAGTGGACTGCCTCATCTGTCTCCCACGAGGAGGCTGGTGTGTTCAAACTGCCCCTCTTTTGGTTAGCAGCTGAGCACTTAATCCTGTACCACCAGGGCTCATGGGGGTTGATTATACTATTCTCTCTACAGTCAAAAAGAAAAATTAGTAACACACATCTTAAGTTGACTTTGAGGTTTTTTCTTACCAACAATACCAAATATCAACTGTAAAAACCCAGACACAAATTGCAAAAGCATTGACTTCCTTCCCAAACTGCTCTACAGCAATGTAAATTTGTCTTTTCCTGCTAGAAAAAGGGTGGTCAACAAAACTATCATCATGAGATTAAGTGAAAAAGACTATGTTGTTGTTGTTGTTAAGTGCCATCTAAATGACTCCAACTCATAATGACCCTGTGTACAACAGAATGAAACACTGCCCAGGCCTGTGTCAGCCTCACAATCCTTGATATACCTGAGACCATCATTGCAGCCACTGTGTCAATCCATCTCGTGAGGGCCTTCCCCTTTTTCGGGCCCCTTTTTCACTGACCCTTCACTTTACCAAGCATGGCATCATTCTCCAGGGAATGGTCCCTCCTGACAACATGACCAAAGTTAAGTGAGATGAAGTCTGGCCATTCTCGCTTCCAAGGAGCATTTAGGCTGCACTTCTTCCAGGACAGATCTGTTAGTTCTTTTAGCAGCCCACAGTACTTTCAGTATTCTTCACCAGCACCACAACTCAAAAGCATCAACTCGTCTTCCATTTCCTTATTCACTGTCCAGCTCTCACATGCATATGGAGGCAACTGAAAATACCACGGCTTGGATTAGGTGCACTTCAGTATTCCAGAAGACATCTTTACTCTTCAGCACTTGAAAGAGGTCTTTTGCAGCAGGTTTGCCTAGTGTGATACATCGTCTGATGTCTTGACTGCTGCTTCCATTAGTGTTGAATGTGGAACCAAGTAATATGAAATCTTCAACAACTTCAATATTTTCTCCATCTATAGTGATGCTGTTTATTGGTCCAGTTGTGATGATTTTCATTTTATGTTGGAGATGTAATCCATACTGCAGACTTTAATCTTCAAAGTGCTTCAAGTCATCCTCACTTTCAGCAAGCAAAGTTCTGCCATCTGCATATTGCAGGCTGTAAATGAGTCTTCCTCCAATCCTGATGCCATGTTCTTCTTCATATAGTCCAGCTTCTCAGATTACTTGTTCAGCATACAGACTGAATAAGTATGGTAAAAGGATACAACCCTGATGTGCTCCCTTCTTGATTTTAAACCATGCAGTGTCCCCTTGTTCTGTTCAAATGACAGCCTCCTGATCTATGTACAAGTTCCTGATGAGCATAATTAAGTGTCTGGAATTCTCATTCTTCTCAACTTTATCTGTAATTTGTTATGATCCAGACAACTGAATGCTTTTGGATAGTCAATAAACACAAGCAAACATCATGGGGTTCGTTGGACTTCCTGAATGGATATATTCTCATCTTTCATCATATTAGGCAAATTCTCCTCCAACAAATCTTGGATAATTTTCTCAGTGGTTTTATTTTTCTCTTCCTGTTCTGGAATTCCAATGAC